AAAAATATTTAATTAATAATAGAAATATACAAAATTATTCAAATCATCACAATATTTTTCATAAGCTCCTCTGACCACAGGAAACCTAACAAAATTGGTACCATAATTTTCTGAGGGATATTTTAATTTATATGATTAAATAAGGCCAAAATAGCCACTTAGGCTTGAAAATTATGGTTAGAAGCACAGAGGTGCTCACTGACTTACTAAAAATCAAAGAAGATGCCTTATGTCATGAGGAACCAAGCCTAAAAATTTCAAACTATGGTGATTAGTATCTAATCAAAATGAATTAAAATACCTCAGAGAGTATATAATTAATTAAAAATCATATACTTTGCAAATAATTTTTATGTTTAATCCACATTACTCTTCTTTGTTCACTGAGCAAGAGGTTTTTTTTATTTTTATGATTTTTATAGAGAAAGATATGGATTTTTGAAGATTATGCATTTAAATAAATTAAAAAAAATCCATATTTTTCTACTTAAACACGTGGTGCCAACTCAGCCTACGGCGGCTCCGAACTCACAAGCGGCACTCCGCCATTTAACGTCACCATCCATCTCAGCTGCCACACAACCCACCTTTTCGCACCAAAGATTCATCTGGCTCGATCTCCTCCGTTGATTAAATAAACGCGTGATCAGACAGCTCCCCGTTATCGTCCCTAAATGACATATCCCGAGAACCGTTCACACTAAAACCTTAAGAACTTCGTCTAGACTCAACCAAATCATATGGGGTTTGTTTCTAAACCTTCATCTTCTCAACAAGAACATATCTATACAATTGATCAAGCATGAAATCAAGCCATTACACATGGAGAATCAAAATGAGCTTGGTTTAGGGTTGAGATTCGATACCTTTATCTGAGAGGAGAGGCCTCAATCAGATGGTTGTGGTAGCTTTAATTGGGTCCAACGAACCTCCAGATAAAGTCTCACGCCCTGGTGAATTGTCTAGCTATGTTTTTGACCAAGCTCAATTTCAGGTGTTGATCAAAGTCTATGCCATGGGCTCTCTGTGATGGGGTTTCTATGGGGAATCAACTCCTCTCACTGTGGGGATGGATTATGCACAGTTAATTGAAGTTAGGTGGAGTTTGGAAGTGTGGAGAAATTTGTCCTGGTTCTAGCTGAAATTTTGAACTCAAAATTGGGCTCTCACGGGGGGAACCAGAGGCGACAACTGGTGAGCTTGAGCTGAGGAGTTCTTGGAGAGTCTCTGGGGAGATTTTGGTAAGGTTTACCCAAGGATTTTGATCATCTCCCCTTTGGTTGTGCAGGGGGCTATTTAAATAGAGGAGTTTGGGGTGGAGCTCAGAGCTTCAATTTTGGTTCAATTAATTGCTTATGTGGTGGGCTGAAATGTGCCAAAGCCAATAGAAGATGGTCACCTCGGATGGGCGTAATTGGGTTTGAATTTGAGCAAGGTGGTTTTGGGGTTTTCCGGTGACTAGGGTCGCTCGCCAGAACATGGGATGTGGTGAGGCAGGCATGTGAGCCAAGGGGAGGCTTAATTATGATTAACTCCTAATGGTTTGGTATGATGGAAAAAATTTCTTAGTTTAGGCCCAAAAAGGATAAAATCCCCTAAATCAAAGGAGAATTGATCCACGACTTCAATAGGATGGGCTAGGTGGGCCTAGCCTGGTCACTAGGATGTTGGCTTTGGGTTAGGCTAGCCATGAAATTGAGCCCAATTGATTGATCAATAATTTGTAGATAATTGAAATAAA